GACTAAGAAAGCATGGATATCGGTATGACGTTTTGAGCGCACGTCAGCATTTTCAGCGTGTCACTTCTAGTTTTGAACCATACGCGGGCAGTCACTGAAAACGGCTGGTAGGCGCTCAACAAGCAACATCATTTCCTATATTTTATCGGTCGCTCAAACCCTGGCGTAAAGTATGTACGCAACCATGCGCCACCACAACCGCTCTTATTAGGCAGCGTTCTGACTTCGCGCCGGCAGCGTTTCGACCGCCATTTGACTCGGTTGATGCGCATGCTTTCGGCAGGGTCGATCGCGTCAAACGCGCGACTGAAGCGCTGCCGTCGCGAAGTCTGAACGCGCTCCTACCCTCTCAACTCACTGATTTCGGTGTCTTCTATTGACAACAAATAGAGTTTACATAACACAACCAATGGTAGCCTATCAATGTATCGGCAACCTTTATTTTGGTTGGAATTCCTGTTTACGTCATCATCAAGAAGTACACAACAACAACAAGACAATTTATAGGCAACTGTACAGTATTTTAGCGCATTGACATATGTGGGAGAGAATACAATCATTTTTTCATCCTTTTCACTTGACTTACACTACGATATGTGGAGTGGTTACGCTAAACATCCATGAAAAAGCTACATTCTCGAGAAAGTTTCAAGAGAATTCCAGGAATATATAAGGGAATAAACAAGATGAACGAGAAAAAAAACAAACAGAAACATATATCTATTGATTGGAACGGGCTGCAGCACTACGGGCATTCAGGACTTATTCTGCTTCCATAAGCTTAATTCTTGCCATTGAAAGGATAATTCGAATAAAATGCTGCTACATAACCTGATGTGGAGTGTATTTTTTCTCAAAAACAAAGAGAGCAGTCACTTTAAGCAAAGGACACCGTCATCATTGCAAAATACCAGACAAACATTTGTTGAATGAATTCTTTCAAACAGAAGTAACGATTTCGGTTGACACAGACGAACGCGCAAACAAAACAGCAACACCCCGAACGAAAGCCATTCACCCCTGCACAACACAGCTTTCGTACACTCATACGATTTGGCCTTGCTGTAGATCGTGCTCATCCACATGGACCAAATGCATATGATGTTCGTCTTCCAAGTGCTCCAAACCGGGGATCTTTGTGATAGCTGTCTTGTAGTCGCGCATTTCCTGTAAGAAAAACTTTTTTGGAAGAGAAGCAGGGGTCAAAACTGGGGTTCTAACTCGTTTCATTGAAATAATTGCAAGGGGGGGGGTCGGTGGAGGGAAAGGGGGGTGTATTTCGGAGTCTCAATTCGCGTTCTAAAGCTTTCTTGAAAACATCGTAAATCGGGGATCCCAACAGGAGCGCAGATGGAGGGTTGTATTTACCTTCAAGAAGACTGTTCGGTTGCTGAATTGCCATGATTTTCGCGTTTCATATGAGCTATATCCCCTTCCCTGCTTAAGCAGCTTTTTTGGGTGGGGGCGGGATGGCGAAAGGGGGAGGGATGCGCGGCCAATCCGCAGAAATTTTCAGAGAACAGATAACTTACGAAAATGCTAGGTGGATGGCGAAGGGGGGGGTGGGGGTGAGGGATGAAAGACTCCACCTCAGCCCATGTCTGTTCCACGGAACGGAGGCGAATTGGGGTAGGTTTCCTGGATAACTGTGGCGGGAAACTACATTCACACGAACAACTCGCCTTCTGCCCGTCCCTTCTTTTTTTCTTACCTTACTTCATTTTGGGGAGCCACTGACTCGCTGAACCATGAAAGAGTATTCCCACTAGGACGGCTCAATTCTTCGGGCATCACAATTCTCATTCCACATTCTCAATTCACATTCCACGGCATTACAATTCATTCTTGTTCAGGCCTCTTGTGAAAGAGGTCATTTCCTCTCAATTATTTGCAACACCCGTCTGCTCAAAACGGCATGTTCACCTCTTTCAAGTGTACTTATAACGCAGTTTTGACTCAGATTGTGAACACTGCCAGAGGCCCACTTCAAATTCTCGCAGATTCTCTTGATCGTAGAACCCTTTTCGCGAACGTGCCAAATTCGCCAGGGAGCAATGCCTAACTGTAGCATCGGTGGTGTGATGGTTAGCTCACTAGCGCTGTGAATATGAGGTGCAGGTTTAGGTACTGGCTTACCTCTTCAGTCCCTCCCCCCACCCACTCAGTCTTCTTGTATAAACATTGCGATCTTCAGAAAATCACATTTTTCTATCACAGTTTCGAGAACAGTGATGACAGATCGATAATAGGTGCTGCTTCTCACCGTCTCGAACTGAGGTCTTCGGCAATGTTCATAGTGTGAGTCAGAACTGAGGAAAGCGGTAAACATGACCCTTTTAGGCAAAGGGAGTTGCATTTATACTGGAAGGAAATTAACTTTCCTCA